CTCACTTAATACATGCTAAGGAGAGAACGCTTGGCCGCGGAGCACATTTTTCTTGTAGCACACAGAAAATATTGTCCTCCTGTACACTGGAGTCAGGTCACCCCCTTCACCCAAATAGTGATTACAGCATTTAGCATTAGGTAGAGTGCAGCTGACATGTGACAGCAATGTGAATGCGCAATGTGCCTAGTGTGTGGTGGTGGGGAGGTTGAGTATGGCGTTTATTAAAGCCGTACCTAGAAACACACTTCTGAATAATCTGACAGTTGCCACATCTATCCCTCACTTCCACAAGCAGGCTCAGACTTTGATCATGACCTTGTTGTTGGCAATATCTATTTTAGTTGTACCAGTTGCCTAGCAAAGTCCTTCCATTTCGGCTTCTTAGGTTGTGTTATATCTTTTCAATGTGGTGTAAGATATACTGTATAGTCTTATCAACTTGAGTTAATGTTTTCAAAACCGTATTTCATATTTGCCTATTACATATGTAGGCTCTGCTTCCTGTTTTGCAGTCCTACACAGTGGCTGTGCTTTCCTGCCCTTTCCCATTAGGCAAGCCTGTGAGTGAGCTGACCCACTGAGAGCAGCACAGCCCATGTCTGTCTGATCTCTTATCTCAACAGGGGGATGGCAGTGAAATGCAGAGCTCCCTCTAGTGGTTTACCTACAGGTTTCTAACTCCAGGCCGGATTTATTTTAACCCTAGCAGTGGGGCTACCCCGACACTGCAAGGGTTAAGTGCATATTTTTGTCTAGGTGCTAAAAATAAAAGTTATACTCACCCGATCCTAGGAGTCGGCTTGCTCTCTGAAGCCTCTCTCCCTTTCCTCTACAACAGTCTAAAGTCCCATCAATCATCACATTATATACATAATATGCACAGTGTATAGACGAGGGGACGCTGAGGACCATTCCAGTGCTGCAGGGTAGGTGGGGACATGTTTCAAGGGCCGAAGTAGCAGGTAGCCAACTCAGTGGTTGGGGTGAGTATAGCACCTAGACAAAAACAGGCACTTAACTATTGCAGTGCAAGGGTAACCAACCCCACTGCAAGGGTTAGGAACACCTTTGCCCAGAGTTCTTTATAAATAAAAACATGAAAGAGCAATGTTAAAATGTAAGAATTACATCAAAAATGATATTAGCAATGACAACAAACTCTTGTGTACACTGGAAATATACAATAGGAAATGTTTAAGTTCATATCAAAATCCTGCTACCGTACTTCCCCTTAAAATGGATTGAATAATGACTGGTGTTTTCTGTATCAATGATTTGTATGACATCTTCAAGATAACAAGTGAAGTGTGTGAAGTGAACCGTGTTTGAGAGATACGGCATAATAAGGATAGCCAAGTGATTGGGGCCTCTTTGTATGATCGTCATGTTCTCCGGACACATAGGGATCACTCCTAAAATCCTATTTGGTCCCTTACTAGAACTGATCCAGAGTTTGAATGTATGGGCTTGTGTTAAGGACTTTAGATTGTACGTGGCAGGGACTGTCCTGAGTGTTTCTAGGTATTCTGTAAAGCACTGCGTTATCTGACCAGGACTGAATTTAAAGTTTGTTTTATCTTTGGATAGCAATAAACTGGCCATACACCAGTAGAATTGTGATCGGAAAAGTTGTTTTAGGAACATGTCTTCAATTCTCTAATAATTAATGAGGTCACATTGCCGATCGTTTTCAACTGTGGTGATGAAAAAAATGAAAGGAGCGTGATGGAACATTTTTCTCAAATGGATGAATGAAGTTCCCACAGTGAATGTGTTTTTCATTCCATTTATTCCATTCATTGCAAAATCTAATCACCCAAATTACATTTGTCAAGTCTCTGATCACATTATCGAATGTCCTTTAGATTGTAAGCCCTCACGGGCAGGGCCCTCCTTACCATCTTGTCTTGAATTGTATTGTAATTGTCTTCCTTATATTGTATGTATTATATATGTTCTATGGGATTTTTCTTCTGAATGTTAATATAAAAATCTAGCATTGTATATCCAGCTTAAGGAACGGTTAGAGCCCCTGTCAGGTTAATATTGCTGTTTCAACTAGGGAGATTCACTTTCTTTATTAGTCTTGGTGACCACTGAAAGGGAAGAAAAAAATCCGTCAGGGTTATTCACAAAAGGGTGAAGAGTTTGGAATAGGCCGGAGAAGTGAACAATCCAGATAATTTTTTCAAATCAGCTATGTTGTCCTAGATTGTTCCCTTCTCCAAACTCTTCACCCTTCTGTGAATAACCCTGGAAAATGTTGAGATGTCACCAGGACAGGAATAGAGGAGATGTCTTCCAGTAGGGAGATTTTTTCTCACTTCCTGTTGTATCTACAGGACAGGAACTAAACGGAAATCTCCAAATGGCAAAAACAAAATTCTTAACCATTTACTAATCAATTTAAAATACTGAAGGCATTGGATATATTTTAAACATGAGAAATAAAGTAACTAGTCTATTGAGTTAGTGTTGTATTATCATTGAAGTGTCTCTGCAGATTATATAAAATGTTACTCAGGATTTTCCCACAGTGTAATAAATATACAATCCTTGTTTGTGAGAGTAATAATCTACGCAAACTTGTGACCGCCGTGAGTCAGGAACGGGCAGTTATAGACACAGAATTTTGCTGGTCAGGGAAGGGTTATTTCAGTGGGAGAAATACAAATGGTTGTTGTTGGCTATAAGTTTTCTTTTTTTTGCTGTTTCTGGTCACTAGTTAACATCTAATATCTGAATATATACAATATGCAAATGTTTCATGTGTTATTTAATAGAGAACTATCTGTCTTCATAGAATGAGCAAAACATCTATTTTCCCAGAAACTGATCTGAGGCATTACCTTGGCCTCTGAGTATTTCCTGCCCCCCAAGTCCCATACTACGCTGAGACAAACTTCAAAATGGCATTTGTTTGCCATGTACACCCCAGTTTGTCAGACGCACAAAGGTTATTTACGACTGTTAAAACCGCAGCAAAAATGCAGCCCAGAACTTATGGCCGAGTAAAAGTTCTGTCTCTGTAAAAGAAAACTTTATAGCTTTCCAAATATTTGAAAAATATATTTGTCATTATTCATTCCTTGGATAGGAAGGGGCGGGGGGGCTGTAGTCTTTTCTCAGATTATTAAGATACATATGTGAAAGTGATCAGCTGCTTGTAAATTAAATTATCAGTGTATCATTGTATTTTAAGTGTTGTTTCTTTGTATTGCGTGCAAATATTGTGTACAATGTGTACGCACACAAGGGAATCGTATGCTAGGTACATACTGCGTTGTGTGCTTGCTTAGCTTTGCTGCACAATGACTGTACCTTGATGATTGACTAATCTCACTGCAAGTGTACCAGACAGGGGCTACCAGGCAATCTGTGCTCTCCATTAAGATCTACCTACTGCTAGACACATGATCAACGCCTCAGTTGAGGAAGCTCGAGAGTGGGGTTTTTGTGCTTGTGGCTAGAGATGAGCTCCAAGCCTGAGTTTCTCCGAGCCCAGAAGGTGTTCCACCTGAACACGGAATGATTTATTTCCATGCCGCCCAATCAGCTGCTGCCTGGCATATCCCCACCCGCAACTTGACGTAAGCAAAGGGAGGGGATGCAGTGACATCTTTGACCTTATATGGCTGCATGCCTATATTTGGTTACATTTACCTAATATTGCTATACGGTCATATTAGGTAAATTATGTCAGCACAAGCATCCCGCCCCTTTACAATTAAATGCGGGGCGGGGAATCCCGGTCAGCAACTGCTGGGTGTAAGTTCCAGTGGTACTTCCTTTTTTAAAAGAGCTCAGCTTTCCCTGAAAATAGAAGAGTAATGCAATGGTATTGCTGATATTTGCTTCTTTAATGTGTAATGTGTGTAGGGTCTCTTTAATGTGACACTTTTGACAAGTCATGGGCTTGTAACATACTGCAAGGATCAAAGTCTTAAAAGCAATCTGCATCACCCATAGCAGGCAATCAGGGTTCATGGTGCACTGGTGTGACTTCAGTCAAGTCCTATCTTGTTTCTGTGGTCTACTGTACTTTGCACAATGGATTATACATACTAATGCGGTACATGTGTTGGTGCAATGTGGTTCCATTCATTCGCAATGGTCCCCCAAATCACCTTGCTGATGGACTGATGTGTGTAGAGATTAAAAGGAACATCCATGGGAAATGCCATAATAAATATGCTATATTTTTGCCATATTAAATAACTCTTGAAGAAGACAAGCAGAGCATTGCTAGGAGGTTGTTGTAATCCCCAACCTGTCCGTCTATCTCCCACCTTGACTGCCTTTAGGGGTACCCTAAAGACTCATCTCTTCAGGGAAGCCTATCCCACCTCAACCTAACTGCTTAACCATCACATTCTCATACAATTCATCCACACACAGCTACCTCCTCATGTATCACTTCCCCCTCTCTTTTAGATTGTAAGCCCTCAGGGGCAGGGCCCTCCTCACCACCTTATCTTGAATTGTATTGTGATTGTAATATCTTCCTTATATTGTAAAGCGCTGCACAAACTGTTGGCGCTATATAAATTCTGTATAATAATAATAATCACAGACCAATGACCACTTTTGTCTCTTGTTTTCTCACCAAAGAAGAGTTGGCTTTCAGTTCACTATCGTCATACACAAATATAATGTGACTGTACCTAATCTTCCACTAAAGATACATACAGCAGGGTGGTGGAAGATCCTCTTTCATTAGTAGAGCTGAATTTCATATTCCTGCCTCAGACCTGCACATCTTCTGAGGAGGGAGGAGGAGGGATAGCCAGACACAGCAACAAATGTTGAAATCCCCGTAGATTGCATTTAACCATAGGAGAACCATAGAAGTGAGAGATTCAGAAAACGGGTGAATTATGTCTTTGGGTGGAAGGCTTCGCTATCTTTGGGTGGGGGGCTTTGCTAACAGTCTTATCTGCTGTAAAAGTTCAAAATTGTCCTGTGACATCTAATCGCTGTAATTCTCCACAGAATTCTTCGAAGATTTCCATGCCGAGGGCAGGGAATGCGTCAACTGCGGCGCGATGTCTACACCTCTGTGGAGACGGGATGGCACTGGACACTACCTGTGTAATGCCTGCGGACTGTACCACAAAATGAATGGAATCAACAGGCCACTTGTGAAGCCTCAGAAAAGGCTGGTAAGAGACCCCCTTTATGTTGTAAGAACTAGGGTAGAAGAATGGGATTTGTTTTGCAGATTTCAGCCCAGTGCTTTGATCTCCTAAGGAAAACCTGTAAGAAAAAAAACAGGGGGACAGCCATCGCTGACTTCATTTAAAGGTGTAGTCTCTATGGCTGTCATCTTGACTTTGCCTACCTATTGAGGGCCAGGGATGAGTGCAGATACTGTGATAAATTGCTGCATTCACTGACACCAGGGTGTCGGCCTTTTCTTATGGTATAGTAGTGATCAATGGGGGAAATCCAGTTTGTCTACTTGGTTCTTCCTCTAAGACCAGTTTGTATGGCTTGCCTTGTGACCACTGACATACAGTGTAACGATTACCCCATCCAACGAAAATCTGGGTTTTAGTCTAGTCTTAAGTCTAAAGTTGTCCTACAATACACGAAAGCGATAAAGTTTACACAAATATAGTCACTTGCTAGTCCCAGAAGTGTCCAACATTGAAAATAAAGCTTGTCCAGCATGCTGGAAAACCTCCACCACCATACAGCTATGTTTTCCTATACATGTAACGATCATACACGCAGGCCAAATACATTTTTGAAGGGTTGTCACCCAAAATGCTCACTACGCACCTGTGGTGACAACCGATCAGTCTAGGTCTCCCGTGTTGGGTTTTTATGTAGTTATATTTGGTGAATATACTCCATAATATAACCAAGAAAGGCATATGATGTTCCTGCCTCAGTGTGGAGTACATTGTACTGTAGAAGAATTGCTGCAGTGTTCTATAGCTTCTATTACTCTAAAAGCGAGCTGCTTTTAGCGCTTTACACAAGATGGGGGAGGGGTCCACGGTATACCTTTGAAACGACAGTTGCTTTAGATTAACACCACGAATTGCAGATTTTCTCCGAGGTGCTAGATATTTTCCATATAGATTGATGTGTGAGGCTAATGAGGTTGTCAAGGGCAGTGATCTGGAAAAGCTGCAGTCTATAAAATCGCTTTCTTAAGTCCCCTCCTGAGCATTAGTGACGTTGTTATGAGCTTCTGGAGAATCCATCGACATTTAATGCAATGCAGCAAAGAGCAGCAACAATAGGCCTTGTATGAAGGGCGTATGAAGAGCGTATGAAGGGAATAAAAAAGGTTGGGTTGAATTTCTTTTATTATCTAACCTGTGCCAGGAAGATGTCAGCTGGAATTTGATTGGTTGCTATAGAAAATACAGACTTTTCAGACACTTTTTTTTAGGCATGAAACTATTTTTAGCAACAAAGGTATACCATAGCCAGTTGTAGAATGTTTACACGGCCTGACTTCTGAGTTAAACAGACTTTCACCCTAGCATTCCTCTTGTGCCCATGGATGCCAGGTAATCCGAATCACCATCCCATTCAGTATCCATGACCATGGATGACCCTAAGTCTGAGTTACGCTGCCCAATGTAGTTGTATGAGAGTGAGGTTGCACAGAATTATGTGACAAGTGGTCCACCCAGAAACACCTTAAAAAGTCTGCTGAATCTTGCTACACTGGAATGTTTATAACTTAAAGGAGAACTATGGGGCAACGTTTTTTTTCCATAGTTCTCTGTTGGGTCACGGGAGGACATATACCCAAAACTCAGCATATGCTGAGAGCACCGCAGCTGGGATAGATCCCGACAATTCTGTCCAGATCCACCCAGCTGACTGATTGACAGCTGGCTCTTCCTATCTAGAGGCAGAGCCAGCTATGTCCGCCCCCTCCCCTGTCTGTCCCTCCAGTCAGCGCTGTAGGATCGGAGAAGGGAATCCCTGTGGCGAGCGGTACCTGACAGTCACCGCTCCCTGCAGGGAAGTCGAGCGGATCGACGGTATGTGTTCGCTGACTTCCCTAACAATAAAGCCGACGTGTAACAGTTTCAATGTCACACGTCGGCTCTAACTATGAGGATGAGTGTAATTCCCTCACCCCCAAAGTTCTCATTTAACTAAAAAGATGACAATGTTTGCTGGGTGGCATTAGCAGCTCAGTGATTTTATCTGCTGCTTGGAGGTGCAGTTTCAGTCATATACACACCGAAATGCAGGTGGTGGTAGAATTACACAATTTGAACTTTGCAGGGAGATCAGAGTTTAGATTGACCGATTCCCCCGAGTCAGCAGTAACCACATGTCTATATACCAAGGCTTTTACTTATGAGGGCAGCCTTGGAAGGAGTCTGCAGCAGCATTTTCCCTAGGAAAGGTAAGCATTTCATCCTTTCTAGTATTCATTTATCCATCCCAGCAAGTCTGTTACAGCTTTATTGTAAGATTTTAGCCCACGTTAATTATGATCGGTCGTCTGAACAGGCCAATAGTAGCCTGAAAACACAAATTTGCCAGGAAGTGCAGTTTTTTGGTAGAAGTGATCTTGTATTTCTCTTCAGCCAAAAAAAACCCTCTTTTCTCTTCCTCCTAACAAATTTTGTAATTCACATTCCCAGTATTTCTGATTTGCTGAAGAGTGTAGCCTAACGCTGGGATGGTGCGACTCCATTGTGCGTGTGTGGGAATTGCATCATTACTGGCTGCACAATGTGCCAAAAGAGGAAGGCGGTGGCAGCAGCAAGAAAAGCTCCCACAAATATGGCTGTGGATCAGTGCAGGGAATGCAAAACTGTCATGTCATAGAAATTGCTCCCGCCGCACCTCTCCCACCCTGTAGTTCCACTTTAACATGTGTACTGCTGTGTGCTGCGCTCACTTAAAAGATATCGTCACCTTGCCCATGCAAGGCACATAATGAGGCACTTTGACTTTTGCAGCCCAGGCCTTTCTTCTTTTACAACTCCAATCCAATTAGTCCTGTGCACCGATGATCACATACGCGTTCCATACATCCAGCACCACTGTGTGCTGATTGTATACTAAGTCAATACAGTAATCAGGAAACACAAAGTAGATCTAATACAATGACGATATAAGGAAACATACTGTCTGCAGCGGGAAGACAGATACTGTTTAACTAATACAGCACAAACAATGGAAACATTATACTAACTGATTATAAAGCCAACAGGTACAAGGCAATGACATATTGGAAGAAATCAGTGGCATAGCGCAGCAGCTATTGAAAGAGTCCCTCCTGCTGGATGCTGTTACTGAGTACATATGTCTGAAGGCCCTTCCTGTCAACAATTAAAAAAAAGGGATGTACCATTACTTAGCGGGTAAAAAAATATACTATAATATACTTTTCGAGTACCAATGCCGATACTTGCCATTTTCATGAGAACTACCCGGGTTGCTGCGGTTGCAGCTGGGACCGGGCTCTGGCACTCCACCACTGTCCTGAAATCATTAGTCTGTATTGTTTTAGACAAACTGTCACATGACAATAAACAAAAATGTATCAGTACTCGTACTTGCAAAACTGGTATCGGTGCATCACTTATGTATATGTATAAAAAAAAAATCATACATTAAAACAGAGATGTACAAATCCCAGGAGCTCCGTGCGCTCCTTACAAATGACAGCTGCCTCCTAACTTCTGAGTTTTTCTCTAGTCTAGCCTTGGAGCTGGCAAAGTATCGGTACATGTACTGAGTACTGTACTTGGTATTGGTGCATCCCTAATGATTACCTCTATACCAGCTTAGTTTGTTTCAAGCCTCCCTGGCGTCACTTATCATCATGTTAATAGTAATCAGGAACTTTAAATATAATTTGCAGGCAAAGGAACAATGGAATAAAACACAGTAAATGGGGAATATGAATGAATCATGAAGCCACGGGATAAAATAAACAGTACAGTTGTCTTTGAAAGCCCATTTATAATGAAAAAAAGAACTGGTACGATTATTCAGAGAGGAGTGATGCCTTCAGAGGGATCCTTTTGTGTTAGAAATATGGAAGTTGCCATTACTGATTTGTTTTTTATGGCGGTGCTGTCATGTTTATTCTGATTACCTTGTGATGGGATAATGCACGCTGGTCTCACAGACACTCCTAACATATGATGAGAGATCGCTCTTGTTACATTTTATTACGTGTCTCTTTTCAGCTCACAAACTTTTCAACAACCAGTTGTTTTTGCTAACTCGGTTCTACTGTAATTGGCTTTTTCTCTTTCAGCACATATTTATTGAAAATCTTACAGGTTAACAAAACATTTCTGTGTACAGAGAGCATTACAGGTAATACAAAGGCATCTGTCAGTGACACCAACGAAAGACATTAGGGGGGAATTTATCAAAACTGGAGCAGACAGATTCTGGAGCAGTTGCCCATAGTAACCAATCAGCTTCTTTCTTCTGTTTGTTCAGTTAAGCTTTGAAAATGAAAGAGAGAAGCTGATTGGTTGCCATTGGCAACTGCTCCAGATTCTGTCTGCTCCCGTTATGATAAATTCCCCTCATAGTATCATGCGTGTTCCCTGAGAGGGAGATATTCATCTCACACAAATTGTAGCACAGTAGCTGCCAGAAAACGGGGTGTTAACAGAGCTCGACAGATAGCCCATGGTAACATTCATTGTTACAGGAAAAGAAAGACCTACAGGTGCAGGAACAGATAGAAGTCTGTTTCAAACAGCACAATCCCCCTGACATAGAAATCCCATAAATTGAGCTATCCAGTGAACAAGTAATTCAATATTGTGTAATATATCAAAAATATTTTAATTAAACATAGAACGGTATAAAGGTAAATACTGCGATACTCCTTTTTCCCCGTTTTGCATATATATTTAGAAGTCTGTTTCACCCCTTGTCCAGGGTCAGTTAGTATCCTGATCTGTATGATATATATTATATGGGAGGACAAGGACGGTGAGTGCGTAATTCTTTAAAGGATAAATCCACCTTTTCCAAACATTAAGGAAATGCATAATTCATAATATATTAAAAAAGTGCATTTCTTTAATTTTTGCATTCAAGCCGGGAAAGCATCGTGATTGTGATCACTCGATCACAGCTGCAGAGCTCAGACTTCAGCCCATTCTCTCCGAGGCAGAGCTCCATACTGAGGTACAGAGTTTCA